TTTTCTAGCTTGGATCTGGAGCACTGCAGGCTATCATCCTCGCTCTTCTCCCTCTCCCTCCCCTTCTTCCTCTCCCACACCTGAGGACTCTCAGCAAGGCCATCCACCAACTTCCAACAAGGATCACTGTGGCTGGTCTGACCTTTGTCCAGATGTCCCCTTAGGCTCGCCTCAGAAAACTGGGCACTTTTCTGCCGCGGAACTCTCCAGAGCCCGCCAATAGGTCAACATTTCTGGAGGTTTGATAAAATGGCAGGTCACAATTCTCTTAAAGCGACACGTGGAAAAGCGCAACCCTTCAGGGAAAAATGTCTGCTCTGAGTGAAGTTCCTCCAGCTTGATGTTCAGTTTCTCCAGGCAGAGCCCCACAAACACATCTTCTAATTTAATGAAGGGGACGCTGTCTGAAACATAATACACCCAGCTCGCAACATCACTAGAAAAAACATAGCCCGTGCCAGAGCAAAATGGAGGGTACTTGTCCCACGGGTACTCGTATTTACTGACAAACCACTTACTGGAATTATCCCTAATTGGGAAATTAGACATCATTAAGAAGCCAGTGAAAAACCTAGTTGTTCTGTTTTTCTTTAGAAGTAGTTCAGTTAGATAGTAGACGTTTACAAACATGTCGGAGTCTGTCTTCATCACAAAGGCAGCCTGAGGGCAGAAGCGGTGGACCCATTCAATGCCCATCATGGTCTTCAGAGTCAAATTGACATAGACGTCCACAAAGTCCCTCTGGATAATGTCTCCATATTGCTGGCCTTCCAGGGTGACTAGTGTCATTTCCTGCTCTTTGGCTGTGACTCCCAGGAGAAAGAAGGTTTTTATTCGTTTTCCTTTAATGACCATCTCTCTCCCCCAAGTCTGCCTGATGGCCATCCGGGCGGTCGTCTGTCTGTGAGAGGACGTCACCAGCAGGACAAGGAAGGGAGGATTCTGCCTGCAGTCTATTTCCGGGAGCTGAAGGAAGTTCCCACTTTCTTTCTTGAAAGCAAACAGCTCTTCTTTAAAAGGAGTCAGGCAGTGAATGCTCAAATACAAGCAAACGGCCCCCAGAATCAGAAGGAAAATATATGTACGTCTCATCTTCGAGTAAGTCATCTGCAAGAAACAAAGCCAAACTATTATCCTCAAAAGCATGAGGGTATGTTTGGCTCCACTTTAGGTGGCTAAGGTGGGGGAAGAGAAGAGATCCATGGCTCATGAAGCATGCTTCTGAAACTCTGGAATCCCGTTGCATATAGAAGTTTAGTTCTAGATACAAAAAGTTGAGCATAGCGGATTTCCAGCATCTTCTCTCTAGGGTGTAAGACGAAGAGCACCAGGAATCTCACACTGGTCCTGGCTCTGCCTCTCGCCTGCCTCACCCTATAGGAGCCTCAGATTTCTTCTCTATAGAATAAGGGACCAAATCTCTCACTAGTTCCCTCATTGGTCCGTCTGCCCTCGTCCTTCTGTGATTTCCTGATGGAGTCCAGGTAGAGAACCTGCAAGCCTGGAAACCAGGTGGGCTAAAACTAACTGTATGGACCATTTACCTTTCTTCCCTGTCTAATTAAGCGCTGTTGTGTTGTCCCTAGAATGAAGCAATAGGCTTTTTCTGATTTGTACAACTACCTTGGAATTGTGTCTCTGCTAGCAGTGGTTCTTAGCTGCCATTGAGTCGGCCCCTGGCTCATAGTGACCCCATGTGTTACAGAGTAGAACTGCTCCATAGGGTTTTCTTGGCTGTAATCTTTATGGAAGCTGATCACCAGTCCTTTTCATCCTCAGAGCCCCTGGGTGGGTTCGAACTCCCGGCCTTTAGGTTAGCGCCACCGGGGCTCCTCTCTGCTAGCAGTAGTTATTTTTTCTGGTAACTGTTTAAAAGCTCCTGTGTGGTTCTTTCATCTTTGCCTACCCATCTCTAGTGTTTTGGGCAATTCAGCTTCATCGATGTTAATGTTATAAGAAAGCAAATAACTCACTTTGTGCTCAGTAAGATGAACCGCTGCTTTGAAAGCTAAGCCACAGGGTAGATGCAAAGAGGAAGTTCGTTTCAGAGAGTTCTCAGTGTAGAATGTTTGGTACCAGCAGGTACTGGGCTTGGCTTGTTTCCCAAAAATGATGCTTCTGTTTACTCAGGAATCACTAGGAGGAAAAACAAAAAGAACAGTGTCTTTCAAGTTGCATGCTCCTCACCAACTGGTCTCACAGTTTCCCGTTCCTGATTCTTGCTTTATGCTTACTCACTACCTACCTACACAATCCTGAGCCAGCATGTGAGCCCCTCATCCAGCCAAAGTTTTCTCCTCTGTAAAATGTGGATGATCAAGGCAAACACAGACTACTACATAGCCCCTTGTCGGCAAGGACATTGATATGTAACTATCTGAGAATCCTTTCAGGACTTGGGGCCAGGATAGCATCTCCTACTATCTGAGGAGACATGGAGGACACATAAATAAGTTACAGACCAATTTCTCATCCTGGTAATTTACCTTCTATACATAACAGAGTGTGTGGCTGGTGCCTAAAGAATTTAGCAACAACAACATTACAGCGATTCCATGTATTTCAGAATAGAATGGATCTCCCTGGGGTTTTCAATGGCTGTGATCTTGTGGAAGTAGATTGCCAGGACTTTCTTCCAAGGCACCTCTGAGTGAATTCAAACTGACAACCTTTCAGTTAGTAGTTGAGCAATGTCATGGATTGAATTGTGTCCCCCCAAAAATGGGTGCAGCAACTTGGCTGGGTCATGATTCCCAGTGTTGCATGATTGTGTAATCTGATGTGATTTCCTTACGTGTTGTAAACTCTATCACTGTGATGAGATTATATGTGATCTCCTTATGTGCTGTAAATTCTATCCCTGGGATGAGGTTATACAGATGAGGTTGACAAAATTAGATAGTGTCTTAATGCAATCTCTTTTTAGATATGAAAGAGAGAAGTGAGCAGAGACATATGGGAGCCTCATACCACTGAGAGGGTGGTACTGGGAGAAGGGCACATCCTTTGGACCAGAGGTTCCTGTGCTGAGATGCTCTCAGGCCAGGGGAGAACTGATGCATCACAGGGACCTTTCTCTAGAGCCAACAGAGAGGAAGGTCCTTCTCTGGGAGCTGACACCCTGAATTTGGACTTGTGGCCTACTGGACTGTGAGAGAATAAACTTCTGTTTGTTGAAGACATTCACTTGTGGTATTTCTGTTACAGCAGCACTCGATGACTAAGACAGAAATTGGTATCAGGAGTGGGGTGCTGCTGTAACAGATATCTAAAATGCGGAAGTGGTTTTCAAACTGTGAATGGATAGAGGTGCAGCAGGAGTAGAGAAACAGCAGCGGCAGAGAACCTGCAGCAGCAGAGAAGGGGCAGCGACAGAGAACCAGCAGCAGCAGAACCAGGAGACCAGCCCAAGATGGTGCTGGAGCCGACCCACGGAGGGAGAGAGCTGAGTGTGTCCCTCAAAAAATGGGTGTAGCAACTTGGTTGGGTCATGATTCCCAGTGTTGTATGATTGTATAATTTAATGTGATTTCCTTATGTGCTGTAAACTCTATCACTATGATGAGATTATATGTGATCTCCTTATGTGTTGTAAATTCTATCCCTATGATGAGGTTATACAGGTGAGGTTGACAAGATTAGATAGTGTCTTAATGCAATCTCTTTTTAGATATGAAAGAGAGAAGTGAGCAGAGATACATGGGAGCCTCACAGCACTGAGAGGGTGGTGCTGGGAGAAGGGCACGTCCTTTGGACCAGAGGTTCCTGCGCTGAGATGCTCTCAGGCCAGGGGAGGACTGATGCATCACAGGGACCTTTCTCTAGAGCTGACAGAGAGAGAGGGCCTTCTCCTGGAGCTGACACCCAGAATTTGGACTTGTGGCCTGTTGGACTGTGAGAGAATAAACTTCTCTTTGTTGAAGTCATCCACTCGTGGTGTTTCTGTTGGAGAAGCACTAGATGACTAAGACAAGCACTTAACCGTTTGCACCACCCAGAGACTCCTAAAGAATTTAACACAAGGAAGAAATTCGCCAATTCTCAGCTCAGTCTTGATGTCTGAAAATCATCGCCCCGGGTGAGAGGACAGAGGGGCCAGCAAGGAAAGACACGCAGAAGAGATGAAGAAAGAGTAGGCTATTTTAAGGGCAAAAGAGTAACTCAAAAGTTCATCCAAATTCTATTCCAAATATATTCACCATGGTTGTTGTTGTGTGTCGTTCAGTCAATCTGACTCCCAGGGACCCCACGTGACAGAGCAGAACTGCTCCGTAGTGTTTTCTTGGATGTAATCTTTACAGAAGCAGATCGCCTTGTTTTTCTCCCAGGGAGCCTCTGATTGGGTTTGAACCACCAACCTTTGGGTCAGCAGTCAAGTGCTTCACCGTTTGCACCACCAGGACTCTGTATATTCACCATAAAAGAAATTAAATAATCCCAGGGCTTTCCAGCACTAGCTAGCGCTCCAGGGACCCTTTTCCTGGAGATCCCCTTAGCCAAGCTCGTGTTCTTCTCAGCTGCCAGGGGGGTTCCTGTCTGGCTAGAGCTCCCATAGCGCCCCCCAAACTCCAGAGAGGTCACTGCAGGAGGCCGATGGAAGGCAAGAACCCCTTGGGTCCCATGGTCCAGGGGTGGTGAGAATTCTGTCTTCCTTTGTGAGATGATTGATTTGCATGGCTGGGATTTATAGGTTATTTTGGCAGGGAAAGGGTGCCGGTGATTAAAGTACATTCCACCCTGCCTCACCCCAACCCCCCCCCAAAATACAGTTTGGGGAGAAACATGAACACTACATGCGAGGGGAAGATGATATTGTCATCTTTTCCTTCCTTTCTTGGGTAGTTTTGCTCTTCCTCAGTTGTTTCAATAGTGAACTTTAAGTTCTCATTCTCTTAATGTGATTTTCCCAGGACCCTTCACTCAGATCTAAATTTCAAGGGGTGATACTCACCTCTGACAGGTGAAGGGCATGCTCCAGTGGCCATGGTCTTGACCTCTTGCTGGATTCCAAATGGCAGAATTCCAGGATGCGGAGCTGGTGCCAGGACCAAATGGCAAAAAGCACTGTGGGGTCTTTGTTTTCAGTGCAATTGTAACACTTTTCCTACCTGAAATGAAAGGCCCAAGAAGGAAACCCTGCAGAAGTCACACCCCAGAGTCCCCATTTACAAAGCCCCTGAGTCTTTGATTGCATCTGTACCACGTGCCCGAAGCACCAGGAATGCAGCCTTCCCTGGAGGGCGGATCTGGGCAAGTTGGCCAGAACCATCAGGGAAGCGTGTGCCCACCAAGCTCCTGTCCTGCTGAGGCTGCCTGGGAGGCAGGAGCACTCAGCACAAAGCAGCTCCACCTTCCTGGTCAGGGCCATCAATAGGCACTGTGTGGTGTGGCCAGCTGTCAGCAGATAATTTAGTGGATTCTGCATCCAGGGCTTTGCCCTTTGGCCCATGATCAGTGCAGACAAGGAGACAGAGCCTTGTAACTGGAGTAGAGAAGTAATGCAGGTGAATAATAAATGAAGTCAAGCTGCAGGAGGCAGCACATCCCTCCTCTTGTGGCTTCTGCACCACCTCTGTCTGCAGCTTCAGCTCCACGCACAGGTCATCGTGAGCTTTTGGTTGGGAGTGGCAGTCTGGATAAGGAGTATGTTTCAGGGTCCCTTAACCCCCCAGAGGGCTGTGTGGTTTCAATGCTGGGAGCGTTTTGAATTAAAGTGGAGGAAGTAAGTAATGCACACAGAGCGAGTGGCTTCCAGGAAGGGAAAGGCTGGCTGAGGGGACACCTGGAAGTTGGTGTCCTAACTATCTTCCTAGGCACATTAAAAATATGTGTTTAAATTGTTGGCCTTAAGTAAAGCAGATTACCCTCCATAACCTCAGTGAGGCTCATCCAATCAGTTGAAGGCTATGATTCCCAGTGGTCTGCAGAGGTTTTGTAATCATCCTCCATTTTGTGATCTGATATGAGCAGCCGATCAGTTGAAAGGGGTGTTTCTTCAAGGGTGTGGCTTAGTCCAATATCTATGGGTGTTCTGGCAAAGCTTCCCCTCTCTCCAACCTGCATGTGGCTCATCATCCTCTGGCCTCCATCCTCTGTCCAGTTTTTGGGACGTG